TCAAAGACAACGAATTTTGGTTTTCTTTGAATAATTACTCGTGCTTATTAACACCAAATTGCACTCGAAATTATGTTATTACTTATACTTTCAAGTAGAAGCCTTCAAGTAAAAACTTGCACTCATGCATCCACCTTAGAACTTCGTCCACGATTAATTGCAAAGGGATATTTGTGTCAGACATCCTGGGTGTTTGAGTATTATTAAGGGTCTAAGAAACTTAATCTTTTGGACTTCGGCCCAACCAGATAACTGGCAGAAGTGATCTGAAGATATAACCTAAAATCCTACACACAACTAAAAAAATTAAAAAAAACGCGTTTTGGTCTAAGTGATTCGAGAAGGTTTAAGAAACAATCGTGGATGTCTATCAAAAACAACTGATACACAAGGTTAAGAAAAGCCACTGGAAAAAGAACTTGAAGACTCGTTTTTCCTCCTTTCGAAAAATAAATGAGACACAGGCGACAAGTAGAGTTTCAAGTGGTAACCACGCAAAATAATACCTTTTTGGACTTTATAAGCGTGCCGCCTACATATCATCAATAGACACGTGCCTGTGATTTTAATTCGTTACAAAAAAAAAAAAAAAATGATATGAACTTTGATTTCTGATACCTTAACCTGCACATATCAAACGTACCGCTTGAAAGAAATACAACAGCAATGAGATTAAGTTAAGCGAAGGGAAGCTTGAAATTCTGCCAGATCCATTTGAAATTTTGTCTTCTTGGGCAAGTCTTGCGTGCTTGATGCCCTAAGCATGCTTTGTCTTAAAGAAAAGATTAACAAGTGACTTCTCTAAACATTTTTGCAATATCTTGAAGGAAACAGGTAATGTGAATAGACAAGTTTATGAGCTTGGAGATGTTCTCTTGATCTGATCAAACACCCAATTCTCTCATGCAATTTCTGAGAAATTGTATGGCAACCAGAAAGGAGTGTTTCTAAACAGGTACCTGAAGTGAAAAGCGAGTTTGGTTGTTTTCAGTCTCCAATTTTTTCACCAACCTGTGAAATGTCTCAACACTAAAAAAAACTTCAGTTCAGCTAAATTTCTGCTCAACCCTTCAACTTCCAAGAGTGATTAGCAAGCAACTTCTCCATACAATTCCAATAACTTATCTTGTAAATAGGTTACGAAAACAGGGAAGCTTATCATCCAGAGGGTGTTATTTTGGAATAAGACCAGATTCTGCTGTCTAACTTACGAGGAAAGGTAAAGTGGCAAGTATGGATAATTATCCATTTGAACTTTGGAGTTACAGGGTTAAAAATTTTTTTTAGAAAGAAAAAGAGCTTAGACAGAATAATTGAAAGGTGCAACTCATTTACACAGTTGATGACAAACAGCACTAAGTATCACAAAGCTAAATTCGTCCGCCTTGCCCAAATGAGACATCAATGGAAGTAATCCGAAAGATTAGCTTTTTAATACTCTTAGTTTATCTACGTTTAAATCTGTATGAGCTAATAATGTTCTCTTTGGTTTATTTTAGAACCTAGCATGATCGATCGATCGATAATGAAATCTTCCAAATAACACGCTCTGTTAGATACAGTGTATTTTGTTTCAGTTTGGATGTAGAATGTCTAAAGCTTTCATTTATGGCAGAAAACAACAGACTTTTCATTGTTTAAGATTAAAACGATGTGTAAAATAAATTAAAGTTAAAGCTTGAGTGGAAAATTTTTCTCACTGAACATTGTGGATGTTTTAATTACACAGTAAAGAGCTTATGCAACAAGGCAGAAGGCAAAAATTTGAACCGCTTACCGCCTGCTTCGGCTGACGCATACTTAAGTAAAGATAACTGGGGCAACTGTGAAGAGAAAAAAATATTCCACTTTTCTCCGAGTATATTTAAGTATAGGAGAAAATTTAGGTAAAATTGGGACTCGTATTTTCCCTCTGACGTCGCCAAATTCGTCCAAACCACCCTAAGCCAAAAAGTTGTCTACATGTTACATAAACCCCATTTTTTAAAATAAATCTTCGAGCTTTAAGAGATAAGAGTTGTATTGAGACAGTCATTGTTAATCTTCTTAATTCCATAGCTTAGTGAAATGTCTCTGAAGTAGTATAATCCTCTTCTCTTAATCTGAAGCCTAAGCGATTATTTGCCTGGGTGGTGAGTTCACCAATTACTCGTTTTGGTTGACCTTTCCTGCAGTAAATTTGCGTGGGTAGGCAAGTCTGGAAATTTGGATTTTTAAAAATAAATTTGACTAAATCACTCTACAACAGGCGTGAGAAATGTGCGACATGCCCTTAGAGAAATTGCTGAGTTAACCTCACAGCTTAAAAGGTTAAACCACAGGCTTGCACGGAAGAACATTGAATTCATATTATCGCATCGAAAAACCGCCCATGAGTAACCATAAAGAGATTTTGAGGGAATTTTTTTAATCTCCTAAAATACTTCTTTTGTTTTTGGTTGCGATGTTATATCATTTAGCTACTCCAATGCGGACATTCTCTTCGTGTAATAACTAGGTTGAGTTTAATTAACCTTTTGACACCTAAGAGTGACTGGTATCTAATGTCTTACAATATCACCGCTGAATCACACATGAAGTTCACGAGAATTGTACAGCAAATGATCACCAACTAAAAAAGCTCTTGATTGTTAAACAAATTCTCCATGTCAACACATTAGGAAATGGTTGGAGAACAGTATAGGGGATGTGTATGCTGATTTTAAATGAGTAAAGGGTCATAGTATACTTAAGAATTGGTCGTACTAAGTTTCACACCAAGAGGAAAAATAACGTTTTTTCAACCAACTTGGGGTATTTTAGAAAACAATGGCCACCACGGGCTGCTCACTTCAACTGTCTGCATTTGATACTGTTACGGTTGCCACAATGACCGCAAATTCTAATAAAACTGAAAACTGTTAGATGTTCACTTACGCATACCGTGATACTAAAACCGCCGAGACCCCTAGAACCTGAAAGAGATCCTACAAACTTGTTATAATATGGATGGAGAGAAATGGTAATAATAATAATAATAATAATAATAATAATAATAATAATAACTTGGTGCTCCTTTACGAGCGATTGGATGGTCACCTAATGAAAGGGTTAGCAGGACGTTCAAAAGCTTTTAAATTACTGTAATGATTCGATTTAGCGCTTATTCACATTTGGTACCTCAAGGGAGGATGGTTATTCGAAACAGGGCGCTTATTAGGGACAGGGCGCTTATTCACTTTTTTTGAAACACAGCAAAAAGTAATAAATAAGTATTTGATGTTTATTTGTAAAGGAACAAGAAGACTGGAAAGTGGATTTGTTGTCCTTGGATCCTTCCTGACTAGGACGATCAAGCAATCACTCGTTTGAAGGAACTGTGCTCTCACATGGACATAAAAGTAAATAGTTGAGAGACTATGAGGAAGACCACTGTTTTTGTAATGAGGCCACAGTTAATCTCAATGTCTAAACACTCTAACAATCCGTTTTTCGGTATAGGGGTGCTTGTTGGAATTTAGGTGCTTACTCAGTAAGGGCGCTTATCAGAATAGGGGTACTTATTAACAAAAAACAGAATCGAGGTGGGCACTTACCGGAGAGGGGGCGCTTATTGGAACAAGGGCGCTAAATCGAATCATTATGGTAACTGTTTTATTTTCAATACACATCCTTTCTACGCATAATTTACACCAGTGCGTAACGCACGCACTGTAACAAGATGCCGGCCTTCATCGTGGCTGAAGCCCGCGAGTAAGCGTGTTTCACAACATCTTCTCTTAAAAGATCATGGTGATCTTCTTTACTAAAATAATAAGTGTTATTTACCATCAGAAAATAGGTGAGGAAGATGACATATGGAGGAAAAAGTCGGATAGTTAATGATCCACTACCTCAAAAAAAGTTGCCAGCCAGCTCAACAAAGGCTGGGAAGCGGCTATTTTGAGGATCGGCTGCGTCGAGCACTTCTGATTGTTTACAAGATCAAGCAATTGAAAATCACGTAATTTGAAAGTTGTGGGTCCCGATGATAATCTAGTTTTTGTATTATAGTGATAACTTTTCCGGTTGTTTAAGTTGAATCACACTCACCCAGAAAAGAACTCACAGAATCACTGGCATGTAGGTGAAATCAAAACACAGAGGACCAAACTTGTTATTTTAATTTTCGAATGTCCAGCTCAAGGCTTTAGAAAAAAGCCAAGTTTAGAAATAATTCAGGGAAGTATAGCCCATTACGTAGGTAAGGAGTGAGGCCAAATTGCAAGATGGTTTCAAGATGATTTTTCCTGTTGTATACCAATCTCGACATTGATCCCTTAAACCGCATTAAGAATATACGTGTGTGCGTGCGGTTTTTTTCTCTTACAGAACTTTGACCATTCCAACCGAGTCACATTCAATATATCTTAGCCTATCTTCAACTATGATGATAGGATTCAATCACAAGCCACGAAATCCCTTACATTTTTGTGGTTCAAGGCGGGAATTGACCAGCCCATCCTAATTGATGTTTAGAAAAAGAGAAGTGATTAATTAAAAACATAGTTTTGTCGATCGCAGGAAGTTGATAAGAAAACGGGAAAAGATTCAAATTCAACAAACGTCAAACATGGTCGGAACGTTTATTAAAGCGCGTGTTGTTAACGACTGATGAATGTTGAACTAGACATTGTAATTACTTCTAAATGACCGGCTGAGAATATATGAAAATCATCTATGTGAACTACGGATTAATTGATGAATACATGAGTTATCTTCGCAGTAATAATGAACACTACTTAAGTAGTCGTGAAAATAAAACCTAAAGCCAGTTGCTTGTATTGATGACGAGAAATGTTCTTTGACGCGATCAAAAGTTCTTTTAAGTTCATGATTTTTCATTTGTTGACTAAGTCCTGTAAGTGTTTTCCGCCTGTACCTTCTGACACAATTTTGTTCATAGAAGAGAGGAAATCGAAGCAGATTTAGTAATTTATGTGGAACTTTACTTTCATCGGAAAGTTTTAGTTAAAGCATAGAGAGAACTAAAAAAATTCTATCTTCGATAAAATCGACTATCTTCTTTTCCGGTGAAAATTCCTCATAATTTGTACACCCAGCTGAAAACAGCAATCTAACTGGTAGCATCTTTTACAGTAGTGACACTGAATAACTTTCGATCTGAACATCAGCTTGATAAAACTTCTGAACTTCTCAAGTCTCACATCCAACACAGCACACCACTGAAATGCGTTTCAAAAAGAGCAAATTGTCGCAGCACTGTAGTGACAAATTGTTCTGGTATGAGAAATTGGGGCGTTGAATGCTAAAAATCGCTTCTTCATTTTTGAAGGGCCTGTAATCGGAGCTCTTGACTTAAAATATCAATTTGTAACATAAAATACTCGTTTCTAAGGTCTTCGAAAACTAGTAATGAGAAAATAGAAAAGTGGCTGTCTGACCATACGCCATTGAAATACTTTGCAATGAACTCAATGGGTGACATGTCACGAAATAGGAAGTGTTGTTTTCTTTCATTTCAAGATGGAACAAACAAGTTTTCACAAAACGTTTTATAACTCGCATATTTTGTGAACTGATGGGTCCAAAAATGCGTTTTTTGCGGAAGTGACTCAAAATCTCCAGCATTATTCGACGTGGGACGTAAGAGAACTGTCACGAAATCCTTGCGATAACAGTAGTAGATCTTTCGATGAAAAAACTAATTTAATCTCGTGAAAAAATCTAATGGTTAAAAGTGTGGATTAATAAGTTTGAAGTCAAGCCTAAGTGGCCATGTAATAAAATCGTCAACATTTCAATTTAGAAAGATTTGATCAAACCAAAATGTCTCTAATGGCGTCAAAATTATTTGAGATGCCACTCTCAAATGTCAGAAGGTTGTCTAGAGTGAATTGACCATGGCGGGCAGATGTTTGTGTTCATGCTAAGCCGTTATGTTATTAAAAATCTGTAAAATAAACTTTTCTCGTGTGCCTTATTGCGATACATATCCCGGCGCCGTTCGGGCGCAATTTTACTCAAACAATGGGATATGGCACACCGATGGATTGTTTCCACTTTGAATCGCCGTCATCATAGCGACCGCAAATTTTAACGGGATCATACGATCGCAAGCCCACAATTCGGCAATAATTTGGAGTTTTAAGGAACAAATGTAAAGCATGGTTGATCATCTATCGCATTTGGAAAGAACCCAAGTTTAGTCGGTATTTTAACTCACTCACGATACAAGAGATTCATGTTGTACTTAAATCCTCCCAAAGCCTTCTAAACAAATATCCAATATGACACCGAGTCGAACAGTGAGTTCATTGTGTATGCGAACAGCTCGCACGCGTTTGTAAAGACAGTTACAGCGCTACTTACAACACAACAGTCGAAGCTGGAACATTTGGTATTCTTGACAAAGAATGGTGGTTGCAGCGCACAGTTGGTCCGGCATGCGTCCGGTAACATAGACAATTCTCTGGGCAAGTTAAGCTACTCCTGGCCAAACAAAGCAGAAGAGCAGCAACGAAAAGTACGCGCCAGAAAGAGGACATTGAACGAGAGAAATCTACAATCAACGTCGACATTTCTCTGGCGCTTGCAACAACATGAAAATTTGTCACCCAAAAGTAGACTAACGTGTACTGATCGGAAGTGTCAGTGAAGCTGCTGTTTTTCTGAGGGTCGAGTTACGTTTCACGTTTCATCTGCGCTTTTCCTGCCCTACCTCTCAAATGACAAATCCTTCGATTGTTTACGCTGACATGGCGAGCGGATGTCCTGTCTTGTGCTGCACGATCCACCGACCGGTACTTTGATACAGATCATTCGCCTATTGTTTCCTCAACAATGACCTTGGATTTTGGAGCCAAAGATCGCCAAGATAACAGACATGACGTATGGCGTCAGAAAATGAGAATGACATTTTTACAAACTGACCCGAAAATTAACCGAAGTAAATCCCGAGATCAGTCGCAAATACACGAAATCGAGAGGGCGAAGATAGCAGAATCGTCAGAAGGACTCATGCAAGTCGTACGCACAGTCTCCTGTCGTAACTCAAAACGAATCAATTTATTTTCTCTTCCTTCGTAGCCTGCATAATGACTTTGAAATGATTTTAGGCTAAAAATGATATGCGGGATTATGAAATTCAAGTTGGAGCGCAAGGGACAGCTTATTTGATATAAGCATATCGAATATTTTGTAAAAGGATATCCTCCCAGAACCCTCGGGACCAGAGCGAGTATCTACCTCAGAAGTGAAGTTAAATCCGTTTTTGAAAACTTTCAAAAGATGGGCTCCTAAGTGACTTAGACCGAATGTCTGTATACGCAGGAGATGTCTCGTGAGTGAGTTCCGCGTCCCGAAAGTAACACTGGAATAATGATTCAGTTAGAGGGAGGATCTGCTGAAGCAACCTCAAGAAAGCGCTATAACTCTTAGATCACAAAAGATTCTAGTGTGATGTACCACTACTTTTTCGTCAAAACGTCAACAAAGTAACAAGGTTTGACGAGACTACCATGACAAGTGCTTCAGCTTCTGTACTAAAAAATCCGTGTTTTGTGACTTTCCCCAGTGAAAGTTTCACCTCTTCCCCCCCCCCCCCCCCCCCCCCCCCCCC